TGCAAGTCTTGAGCTTCCAAGTTCTTGAAGCAAGCTCCTTAGTTGCAGAGAAAAACATGTATCACTACAAACCTGGAAAGCAGAAGTCTAACAATCAGATGGTTTGACAGCTGTCACAACTGCAGGGAGTCTCCTAACTCCCTTGGTATCACCATCAAGGATAACAAAGTTGGGAAACAGGTGGTGAAACAAACAGTTTGAGTTGCTTTTGCGCAGACTTCATACAGCAGCTTACTTGGATGTCACATGAAAGAACGATCCCTTGATTTATAAGCATGATGAGACAAACTTGAGGCAAGCAGTTGGGCATGGACTGAACTGTCGTAAGTTCCATCAGGTTCTATCAGGACACTGACATCCCCTGTAGAGAGCAAGCTGTGGCAGGAGCTGTGGCAGGTCAGGGCCAGAAAACTTACTCAATTGCCCAGAAATGTTGAGAAAAGTCTCTGGGCACTCAAAATGCATTCTAGTCAAGATGTAAATGTTTAGCTTTGAATACCCTTAAGTTTAGGTGAGATGAATCCCATCCCAAAAGCCACCTCCAGAAAGCCAGAAACTTTATCTCAATACATCTAAGAGAGATTCATTTTGCAAATCATTTCTGACCATTTTCTCACCTGGTGAAGTAAAGTATTCTCTATATTTGTGACAACTTATCCCAAAAAGCAAATAGCTTCCAGTATAGTCAGAAGTCATACCTAAACAACAGAGAAATTGGAGTCCACATCACCCAAGGTGGTATTTAAACATGATTACATTCAGCAAATTCAATTTCTTTGGGCGTCTTTCGACATGGTTCTACTTTGGTGAGATTTCTTAAAAGATACTCAGGCTGAAAAACTGCCAAAGACAGACTTAGCTGGTTCTTCTCAATGACAGGATTCATTTCCAGAGAAGAGAGAGCAACACAGGAGAGATAGGTCTGCAAATAGGATGTCATCTTTTCTGCACCGGGAAAAAGCTGAGAGTAGATCATACTGCCATTTGTGATAATCTGATTAAATTCAGTACACATACAAACACTTTGATGGAGAATGTTTCCTGCACCTCCACAGGGATCTGATGAGGTGTTGCTATCCACTTAAAATTGTAGAAGTGTTCCTTATTAATAATTGAACCTACAAAACCTCTAAATATAAAAAGAGAACTTTTTTCCAGATTGAATATATGAAGTTTAGGCACATGTTTGGGGAAAAAAAAAAAGAAAAAAAAATGAGAAAAGGCTCAATACAGAAATTGCTTAGCTACGTGAGGAAAATTAGGAAGAGCAGAATCTTGGAAATAGGGACTAAAGATATGATCTTCACATTATCCACTTCAATCAAGCTATGAAGAATTGAATCAAATGAGCTGAACTCTCATTGTCATGCTGATGGGCTGCCAAGCAAATCTGTGAACATTTATTGACCCTATTGATCTGGGTGGGAAAAAAAGAAGTCTGTCAAGGGATAATCTTGCTCCCCAAAATGCTCTGGGAGGACACTAGATTGGATCCCATTCACAGAGATAAGCAATTTATTCAGCTGTTTGCTAAATAACTGGAGAATCCTAATAATGAATTGTTGATGGGTGGGTCCAGAACTCCAGTATCTTTGTCTGAAAGACTAATTCTCTCCTAGAAGGAACAGAGTCATGCACCTCCCATCTGTAGCAGACAAAAAGTCGTTTCAAGTGTGAAGGCTGTCAGGCTGCAGATAGATGTGGGTATGTGCACAGGCGGTTGCACCTCTGCAACTGAACTTTTGCACTCTAAAGCACACGCCTGCTGTCAGCGTGGGCTAGCTTTAAATGTTGATAATTTTTCGACGAGAAGTAAGACATCATGACATTCCAGCTAATAAGGAAACATAAGACAGAATCGTCAACTAAGAAGCTGATCACATGGTGTGCTTCTGCAGACAGACCATGCAGAAGGGGTTAAAAAGGAAGCTCAAAGGCCCAGAAAGAAAGCAGTAAAGATCCTGGATGGAAGAAAGATCCAGGATGAGGAAGAAGATCCTGTAGATCAGAAAGATGAATGTTTGGGAATGCTGAGGGACTTTGGCCAGTAGTATTTGAGACTGGTAACTGGAACCAGCTGCATCACAAGGACTAACAAAACTCTATGCACAACATCAACAAGGCCAAGTGCAAGATCCTGCACCTGGGGAGGAATAACCCCAGACACCAGTACAGGCTGGGGACTGACCTTCTGGAGGTCAGCTCTGCAGAGAAGGACCTGGGTGTCATGGTGGATGACAAGTTGACCATGAGGCAGCAGTGTGCCCTCGTGGCCAAGAAGGGAACATCTGCCCGATGAGGAGAGGCTGAGGGAGCTGGGCCTGTTCAGCCTGGAGAAGAGGAGGCTGAGAGGGAACCTGATCAGTGTCTATAAGTACCTCAAGGGAGGCAGTGAGGAGGATGGTGCTGGCCTCTTTTCACTGGTGGCCACCGGCAGAACTAGAGGAAACAGCCGGAAACTGAAGCACCAAAAGTTCCACAGGAACTTAAGGAAAAATTTCTTATCAGTGAGGGTGACAGAGCACTGGAACAGGCTGCCCAGAGAGGTTGTGGAGTCTCCTTCTCTGGAGATCTTCAAAATCTGCTTGGATGCAGTCCTGTGCCACGTGCTCTAGGTGACCCTGCGTGTGCAGGGGGGTTGGACTAGATGACCTCTAGAGGCCCCTCCCAACCTTAATAATTCTATAATTCCCAGATCATCAGTGATTTTCCTACCAAGAAAGGAAGTTGAGACCTGAGTTAATCTATCACTGTCAGGGAAACAAATGTGTGGGAGATAATCAAGTAGGATGGTTGTTCAAATCCCAATGATTCTTAAATAAATCCCGATATCCAGACAACTGAAGTTTGTCATTTATTCTTTCTCCTATGACACCACCACAGAACACACACACTTGTTGATAACCCAGCTACTTTGTATGCTGTCATCCATTGACAGGATGTGAGATTTTCACGTTTCAGGTAGCTCAGAGTTCTGAAAAGCTCATGTGAAATCCCTGCTCCTCCAGAGCACACACGGCTGCTGGAGCACCCCTTCAGTCCAGAGCAATGCCCATATTGCTACCATCAGCCAGGCAGAGTATATTGCAAAAAAACCACATGAGCACATATACTGATTGTTTTTGACAATGCAGAAGGAATTTTTTCCACTATGACAACTTCCTTGCCTAGAGTGTATAAAGCAAGAGAGTGCATGGACTGAAGCCACAGTTGAAGGCAGCAGAAAACTTTTTGGAACAAAGCGAGGAACAAGTCTAAGAGGCCACTAGTCCCAGGAGAGATGGGATGTTTATTATAATAAATCCCTGAAAGGTCAAGCTCTGAAACACTCATTCAAGGTAGCAATCTCCTTCAGGTCCTAAGGACCTGGAGCTGACAGAAAATTCAACAGATTCAAAGGATACATTGAATCAAGAGATTCAACACAACCTTGAGGCCCAGATGCTGGAAAAGCGACTATTTCAGAAGCACTGGAAGACCTAATCTCTCTCAGACCTCCCCCAAAACACTCCACTGGAAGGTCAGCAACTTCTGAGGTGCTCCTCAGAAGACTAAGAAGACTCAAGGATTCTGAAGTGCTACTGGTCACGCATAATCAAGCAAATGTAGCAATGATGAGTGCTGGCCACAAGATCTGCATGAGATCTTGGAAATAGATGAGGACCAGTCCTCCTCCTCCTGCCCAGCTGGAAGACTCTGCCAGCTCCACTGAGTATCCCACTACTACTTCTGCAAAACACCAGGTTTTGCAATCCAGCAAAATGACTTTATACTATGAACAGCCACTGTGGAGCCCAGTATCTGTATGCACACCAAAAAACCCACCCCACAACATAAAGATAAAACACTACACAAATGTAGAAGATGCTGCTCCAAACAGTCCAAAGTGCAAACATTCCAGAGAAAACATCAGTTGAATCCTACCTACACAGAAGCTAAAACAGCTAATCTTCACTGATTTTTCCAATGATTAACAAGATAAAAATCTCAGAGCAGCATCATTTTTGACATTTCAATAAAAGGAAAAAAAACAAACAAACAAAAAAAAAAACACCAAAGTCAACAAACTTCAGTACCTCTCAGATATACAGATACTCCAGGGGAAAAAAAAAATCAACAAAAATAGGAAAAACAATTGTCTTTTACTCCTTTCAGTCAGTCAATTTTAAGTAGAAATTTCACATTATTTTCTATCCAGCTCAGCAGCCTGTTGGTACCTGAATCACAACAGTGTTATTCCATGTGAACAGAGGAAGAAATGCTTTCCTACAGATTTAAAATAGCTCTCAAGCGGTTAGTGTACTTGATTAGCTTGAGACTGTTCAAAAAAAGTAAGTTAACTTGTTCATGCTTCTCCAGTGAGGAAAAAAACCTCTTTTCATACACTAGTCCTTTTGCTGTAACAATTAAGAGTAGTCATTGTCCTTCGGTATACATGGCAAAATGTTCCTATTTTCTATGTGCCTATGTTACCACATAAACTAAGTTTTCAATTTTATGTTACCTTTTTAAAAACTACTGAAACCTCTGAATTACACTACAGACTTTATGTCCTTTTACTGCCTATGGAAAGTAAGCACAAAGGGTAATTAAGATTTTTTTTTAAAGAAATGTAATACAGAAAACAATAGCTTATATGTATTGAAGACACAGCAGTGCCTTCTACAGTTCCACAGAAATACTCAAATACTCTCAAAATACTGCCATATTCAATTAAACTTTACTAGTACAGTAGAATGAGTAAAATGAAATCCTACATTGTACACACTAAGTAACAAACTAACCTGTAATATTACATAAGCCTGATGACAAGCATCAACATGAACTTGGAAAGGCTACAAGAAGGTAGCTATGATTCTGGTTTAAACCTTTTATAAGAAAGATTTCACAAGCAAATGGAGAAATTACATTAGCATTTCTATACAAATATGGAGTAAAAATGCAAGTTAAAAAAAATAGCAGAAAAAAATACAGAAAGCTCCAAACAAAGTATACCTTACCTGATTTGTTCCACTTTGAGGCACCTTATATAACTGCAGCTTCTGCTTTAACAGCTCAGGATCACAGTGGCGGAATGGGCACCCTGGCAGGAAAGGCAGGCAAGCTCACCAAGAGGGCTATTTACCCAGGAGTTAACACAGAAAGGCATTCAAGAGACCAAGCTGCTCCTAACTGTCTAACAGCTTAGTAATAAAAAGATAACTGTTCATATGTACAAGAGTTTCGTTTTTTTTTTTTTTTTAATTATTATTCCATTGCATAGTTATCAGGGCATAATAGACTGAAGAGTTACCTCAAATATCCCAGCATAAGCAGGGCACAATTCTCGTTCATTGGCTGGAAAAGTGTTTTAGTTAGTTCCTAGCTAACAGCAGCACCAGTACTTTTAATAGCTACGGCATATTAAGCCACAATTCAGTAAGAGCAGAATACAATAAGCAGCAAAAAAGAAGTCATGGGAGCCAGCTAGTCTTTAAAGCATCTAAAACAAGATTTTTGGAGGGCCTCAAAATTAATTTTTAGGTGCAACTAAATGAACATGTTGAAGTCAGTGCATACTTTCCATGCTTTTTTTTTTTTTAATGCGGAAGATTGTAGAGTACCCTGGCAGACTTCAGAGTATCAGTTTCATTGAATTTACTCCTCAAACTCCCTCACCTCTAATTGATTACTTTAAAGAATCTAAACTTTTAAAGTCTCCCTGTACTAGGTGACACAAAATATGTGAAGTCAAAAGCTATCAAACACTATCTAAAACAACAGTACAAGACCACTGCTGTCTTGAAATTAAGTATTCAGATTAAGAGACTACACAGCGACAACGACAGTTGATACCCAAAAGTCCTCCAGAGAATTTCTGAAGGGAGCACCATCACATTTACGAAAAATATGAGCTTGCTGGGAGGTAAAAATTTCATATTGGTTTTATTTCCAAATATAACTCTTGTAAAATTTCACTCTGCATTCAAACAGAACTTTTAAAAAACAATTTCAGTAGAAAAGCTAAAACTTAAATACATAGGCATGATTGTGACTGCTATTTTGGAAAGGGATAAGCAGTACACTTTCTTCATTACCCCTGTCACAGCAAAGCAAATTTCTTAAGCTTTACTTCTTCAGAATGATGGAACAGCAGGGGAAATTTAGTCTGCATTGAGCCTCCCTTTGCAGTACCTAAGTATGGTATGGCTATAGAAGTCATGATTTTCAAAGAGGTAACTTCCATGCAGACAGCAGCTAAGAATCTGATGTGTCAACACTGGGTAACATACAAATTTGCAAAGCCAAAATATTATTGTACCACCAGAAGTTAAGAATCTAAAAGAGCAACAGGGATCTAACCTCCTGAACAGAACAGGATTAATACTAATAGATTAAATTTGACAGGTTGAAAGTGAAGTTTACAATGCAAAAAAACGTTTTGTCTTGCCTGATATTGTTCATCAAATAAATGAACACAAGAAAGGAAAAAAAAAAAAAAAAAAAAAAAAAAAAAAAGGAGCAACTGCCTCATTCTTCAACTAATAACCTAAGAAATTTTTTTCTTCTCCAGCCCAGTAGCTCCCACTATTTTTCAAATTGCTTGTTTAGGAACTTACCATGATAATCCCCTTGACTTGGTGGATTGGACATGATGATCTTCATGCAGCTGTACGGGGTATAATCTGTTCTCCTTCCTTCTTTCCCATAGCTGTGGCGGATGCTGTAAGCATATCCTTTGTCAAACTCAAAAAAAGAATAAAAATACAAATAAAAATAAATACATATTCTTACGTGCTCTGCGAGCATTTCTGTCTACTCTGTAGACAGAATACTGGGTAATGAAAATAAGTCTTCCAAGCCCATTAAAACAGAGGGAAGTGAAAATGAAGTCACACGGTGTTAACATCAATTTTTACATTATATCAACTTGCACATAAGTGTCTTACTACAGTAACATCAAAAATATCTTTTAAACTGAAGCAATAATTGTTTTAATATATGCCAAAGTTCTGAAGTAAATGTGCAAGAGAGGATCACTTAAAAAGCTTAATTTTTCATATATTCACAGCATTAGTCTAAAATAATATTCCAAACACTTACATTTATACATGCCATACTCTGGGAGGCATATATAAATGTATGGGGAATAGGGAGAAGCCTCCCATACTCCCCATACAAAGGGATATTTTTCCTTCACAGCCAATGAGTTCTACAGTTCAAGTGATGTTGCAATACTGAAAACTTGATGTTGGCCTTTACATATATTCACATATACACACGTGTCAATATGTCTGTAGTACACTGGCAGGTAACGCAACTGGGAGTTAAGAAATGGTGTATTTACTCTTAAAAATACTTAGAAATTAAGCATGAAAATAAAGAAAAATTAGGCTATACGTATAAGATCTGAAAAAGAGAACGCTAAATACCAAGACCTACATACTTAAAATTCCAACCTCTGAGTGAATCTGTTAAGATAAAGGCAAAGCCTGTGATGATCTTTTTACCTATTCTGTTCCCCCACCACTTTGGACCCTTTCCTCCTTTTGTGCAAAACACAGAGGCAGCTCTGTTGCATTTGCTTAATAAAGGGCATTTGAGTAAGCAGTAAAATTAAGGGAAAAGCAAATCTGGATTGTTTTGGGATGTATTGCTTATTTTGCCAGAAAATTAACACCTTCTTAACAGTTGTGCTCACTGAAATCCCAAGCTGTACTTTTCACATCACTTGCCTTAATGCCCATAGAAGTTGCTTTTATTACCTAACTCATTATTTTATACTGAGAAGCAACTCTTGCAGTAAGCAGAAACAAGCTATATAGCAGCATATGCAAAAACATGTTCTGAAAACAGGTTGCAAAACATGATCTTCTCATTCGTTTCCTGCAATCCTACCTGATCTTTTGAGGCCATTTTCTATCTGTTTCATTTCATCTGCATGTTCTTTGGGGCATGGATTATTTTCTTATTTTGAGTAGTAGAACAGTAACTTAATTTTACAGGACTATCAATACTTACAGAAATATCAATAGCTAAGGCACATGAACCTAAAAATTTAAGATATCAGAAGACCTATTTGCATAATCAAATGATAATCCTCTCATAAAATGCTTAAAAATATAATATTTATGAACCTCAGCTTAACTTTTATCAATGCATTTGTATTACTAATCACTATTAATGAGAACTGTAGTTCTAAGAAGGAGCAGTGAAAGAAAGTGCAGAAGCTTGTTTGTTTTTAAAAAAACAGCTCTTCTGAAATTAATACAAAATAGCAAGGGGCACATCTGCTAAAGCCCCTAACCCAATAAATGTTTCAAAATTAGTTTTAAATTTCAGAAAACAACTACAATCTATTTTTGTGTTTATTAGGTAGCTGTCCAATGCTAGCACCAACATTGTACCTCCTAATCTACATTTCCTACATAATGCTTCTTGGAATTAATCATAAACATTAACATTCCCTAATAGCCTCTTTCAAATCCATATTCGAAACGGTAGAGTGTCTCAAAGAAACCAGTAGCTTGTTTGTAAGGGACTGGTTTAAAATGTATAGTTGGCAAAATTGCTTTTCCATCTGCAAAAGAAGACAATTCATAACAACAGGCACCTGCTCACTTACTGCCTGCTCATGCAGCTCACATTATAACCACTCTCCGAATCCCAACACGTGCTTGCAGTGGCAGATGTCATACAAACATAACACAGCTACATGGGACAAGTTTTCATACTCCAAATCATGTACTTTCCTCAAACCTCTTTTCCTCATGTTTCAGCTTTCCTTACACAACTGGTTTTTAGCAGTGCTAGTACCCAGACCACAGAGTATTTCTCAGTGAGAAGAGACCAAAGATTCATGAATTGCAGCTTTTAATCTCCGAAAACGCATCCTAAGGAATAACCCCATATACACTGGGGGATGGACACAATGATCAGACTGCTTTTTTTCTTTTTCTCCTAGTAGTATTACTCTAGCAAGAGCATAAAACGAAGAAAGAAAAATCCCCCTCTAGAGCAATGCCTTTTGCATGTGAAAGCATCAAGGACCAGACATGTTTGCAATTGCAAAGAAGAGGTGAAGAGCCGCCACTTGCAACTTATTTTACTCCTCCAAATTGATACAGTGGGCTTCCTTGAACAGAATAAAACAGACTATGTGCAGAACAATCATCACGCACATCAGTTTTTGCAGCATCATTCTAATTCCTTATAAATTACTTGTTTGTCGACTATTTCAGGAAATCAACTTCAAAACTACAATCCTTCTCCTATATCATTATTATAGTAGAAAACTTTTAAAAGATGAAAACTCAAGACGCAATTCAATATTCAATGCTCAGGGAAAGAAAGAAAGAAAAAAAAAAAAAAGGAACTATCTGCCCAGTAAGAACTTAGAAGTTTTGTTTTTAAGCTAATGTGTTGCTCTTGACAACAAGGCTGACATCTTCTTTCTTCCTGTCTTCGGGAATCTCCCCTCACTGCCGAGGTTACAAGGATGGCCCTGAACATCCAGGATGCCTGGCAGGGGTATCAGTCAGCTCCCTCTGCGCTCACCATGGGCATCTCACCAGGTTCCACGGACCTGATGAATTTATAGTATTCCTGAATACTTTCCCAAGGCAACAGTTTCCTGCTGTGGCTCTTACTTAATTCCAATGAAAACCCATGAATAGCTATCTCCTGTATCAGATATTCTGCCTGCAAGGCCCCTAGAGTATGCGAGGCAACAGCCTAAAACTAGAACAGTACCAAAGACATGGGGACAGACAGATTTGCTGGCTTTTACATCTTGTTCTAATTTAGTCAAGAGTTTATTCTTGGAAAAAAGATAAGCCACAGATAACTCGTATTCTCAGACAGACCACATGGCACTTCATTAAACACAGCATGTACTAATCCTTATATGTACCTCAATCATCAAGTAGATAAAATTGAACACAAATTCAGTGACAGAGAAAAGTTGTGAATGCCATTTCTGAGGCGTCCCTGCAGAACGGATGCACCAGGTCACCACAGAGTTACTGTGCCTGGTACTTGGCCTATATCACTTGTCAGATTTGCAGATTAGCATCTGGGCATGGAATCAGGCCCTCTGTGGATTTCATTTTCGGTTTCGCTAGGTTATCAAATTTGATATTCAGCATGCATATCAGGATGGCAAATAATTTGCTGACAAGGTCTTTCAAGCACTGTAAACTCAGGTTCACATTTTTGCAAAACTTTTATGTTTCAGTTTAAATAACTTTATATGGTCATGTAAGTTTTTATCTGTCTATTCCTTACAGTACAGGAAAATTTAAATCTAACAACTACGCAAAATGGCTATAGTAATTTTGTCTAGCTTCTTGGCTGACTACCAGCTTAGCTCCAACTCTGCAAAACTCAAAGACATAGTGGTTTAACACCTTTTATAAATAGTCATCAGGCAATTTCTTGACCAAGATTGTATGAGCATGTACAGATAACAACTTCAAACTCAAATTTATTGCATAAACTTGTGCAGTTTCTGAAATAATTTAAAATAATTGATTCACATCATTACTGTTGACACAGCTTAGCTGGCACATCTTTGTCCAAAAATTTTTTTTTTTTTTTTTTTTAAAGCTCACCTGTCTAAAAATAACCGAAGCTTGAGGTTACCTTTTCCTAAGCATGACTGTCATTTAGAAGCATAAATAAATATTTCATTATCTGTCAACTATAAACAGGTTTCCATTTATCCTAAATTCTTAACCTGAAATACAATTTTTATGCTTTAAATGCAGACCAGAGACACAGCTAAGAGTGAGATGAAAAAAAAGTCTAACATGCTTTGTGGGAGTTATTACGGAATGTTTCAGACCGAGTACAAATGGCCTCCTCTTCTTCTCCCACCTCAGCTATTCCCAGGCTGGAGGAAAGGATTGCTCTGCCCTGTAGGTGGTTGCATCTGCCATAAGAAATCAGAAAACTTTTGATAAAACAATTTACTCACTCGCCATCTACATGAACGTACTGCATGGATAGCTTCTCAGCTACTCCAGACCACTCGCACAAAAACATGGTAATATAGACTTTTATTACAGTAACCTAAGCTTATATCAATACAATTTAGCCAAACATGTCATTTCTATATGCTATCTATCTATACAGTTATATGTACCAAAACTTTGAATTGGTAGAGTATTTATTAATTATAAAAGTAAAATATCTTCATAGCCCCTAGCAAGCCATAGCAGGCAGCCTTCTTCCTTAAGGCACTGCATCAAATTATCAGCAAAACACATCTTAAAAACATCTCTAAGGATTTTTCTAAGGATGGGGAAACTTTGGGTACTCTCCCCAGTCGCAAGATAGGGAAGGGGAAAATCTTGTGGATGGCGGGCAGCCAAACTCCCTGAAGATCCCGTACACACAGCACTTGATCAGGGACTGAAACTCATCTCGTTGACAGTGCAAAGAGCAGATACTCATGCCAGGTAATGGTGGGTGCTGTTATCACAAAGATCTTGCATTGGTGAATAAAATCAACTGAAGTTCACTGGTTGCTGCCCCTTTGGATTATTTTACTGTCTCCTTTGATGAGCTAGCATGACAGCCACCACCACGAAACTGATGCAGGGAAGGCAGGTGCTTTACACAGGGTCAGAAAAGCAGTTTACATGGGTACAACAGTTTGTGAAAGTTGCAAAGGTTGAGTATTACTTCCATATTCCTTTAAATGGCCATCAAGAACATCTTAAGTTGTGACACCTCTTACAGGG